TGTAAGGGGGGACTCTGATCTTAGGGGGACTCTAACTGGGACTCTGATGTAAGGGGAGCTCTGATAGGGACCCTGATGTATGTGGGGACTCTGATGGGGACTGTGATGTAAGGGGGGGGCGGCGGCTCTGTGGGGGCTTTGATGTAAGTTAGGACTCTGATCTTAGTGGGACTCCAATGGGGACTCTGATGAGGACCTTGATGTAAGGAGGGCTCTGATAGCGACCCTGATGTAAGTGGGGACTCTGATGGAGACTGTGATGTAAGGGGGGTGGGGGGGCTCTGATGTAAGTGAGGACTCTGATCTTAGGGGGACTCTAACTGGGACTCTGATGTAAGGGGGGCTCTGATCTTTTAGGGGGACCCTGATGTAAGTGGGGACTCTGATGTAACTGTGGGGGGGGGGATAGGGACCCTGATGTAATGGGGGCTTTGATGTAAGTTAGGACTCTGATCTTAGTGGGACTCCAATGGGGACTCTGATGAGGACCCTGATGTAAGTGGTGTAGCAATCGTGCCAATCGGTGATCACATGATCAGGACCTCGCCACAGAGTTCCCGTCAGACGATCGGTTTTGCGCTGTGTCTGGAGGACACAGCAGGCACCGGATCGCGGTGCTGCGGACTCCCAGGGAGCGCGCACAAGCAGGGGGCGGGGAGGCCGTTTATAAACATCACCCCGCCCCGGCACTGCCACCGTCTGGCCGTTTATATACATGGGCTGGATGGGAAGTGGTTAGAGGCTTTTGGGAGGACTTTGGCAAGTACTTTAACCCTCTAAACTCCTTTCTTCTACCTCTTTCCTGTGCTGGTGTTCTCTGTATATTTATATATATATATATTAGTTACATCTTTTTCTGTAAATACTGTATTGCACCATTTTGACCTTTTAGTAATAAATCTTTCTTTCTGAAAGTGTTGAACTGTTTCTAGAGCCCTTTAATGCAAACTAAGAACCCCTGTCTCTGAAGAGCGCTCCTGTGTGTGTGTAACCCTCTGTATACCCTGCCTGCGGTGACCGTGGTATACAGACGATTATCTCAATCATTATAGTGTTATCGCTGATGTTGCCGAGTTTCCTCTTTCTCTGTACAATAAGGAGGTGGTGGCAGTGTGAAGGGTTAATTGCGTAATTAACCTGACCCAGTAACAATCGCTCAGGCTGCCGATACATCGATCTTGTGGTCCATTAGCTGGACAATCGTTGTGCAGGGTGCAGCTGGGCGTGGCATTGTTATGCACCTGATTTTTTTTTTTTAGATTGGCTAGTCCTTCGGTCACGAGTTTTGGTGAGAAGGGATGGGGTCTGATGCTGCGAACGTCACATATTGGCTACTCTGATGGGGACTGTGATGTAAAGGGGAGGGCTCCAATGGGGACTGTGATGTAAGTGGGGACTCTGATAGGGACCCTGATGTAAGGAGGGACTCTGATGGGGACTGTGATGTAAGGGGGGCTCTGATAGGGACCCTGATGTAAGGGGGATTCTGATCTAAGGGGGGACTCCAATGGGACCCTGATGTAAGGGGGACTCTGATGAAGACCTTGATGTAAGGGGAGCTCTGATAGGGACCCTGATGTAAGTGGGGATTGTGATTTAATGGGGACTCCAATGGGGTTTGATGTTAGGGGAGACTCTGACGTAAGAAGGGCTCTGATAGGGACCCTGATGTAAGTGGGACTCTGATGGGGACTGAGATGTAAAGGGGAGGGCTCCAATGGGGACTCTGATGTAAGTGGGGACTCTGATGGGGACCCTGATGTAAGGGGGGGGCTCTGATGGGGACTGTGTGATGTAAGGGGGGCTCTGATAGGGACCCTGATGTAAGGAGGGACTCTGATGGGGACTGTGATGTAAGGGGGGCTCTGATAGGGACCCTGATGTAAGGGGGATTCTGATCTAAGGGGGACTCCAATGGGGACTCTGATGTAAGGGGGACTCTGATAGGGACCCTGATGTAAGTGGGATTGTGATTTAATGGGGACTCCAATGGGTTTTGATGTTAGGGGAGACTCTGACAAGGACCCTGATGTAAGAAGGGCTCTGATAGGGACCCTGATGTAAGCGGGGACTCTGATGGGGACTGAGATGTAAGGGGGGGGGGTTTCTGGCATGAACTCTGATTTAATGGGGGCCTCTGATGGGGGCTTTGATGTAAGCGGAGACTCTGACAGTGACTTTGATGAAAGGGGGGTTTTTAATGAGGACCCTGATGTAAGGGGGGATTCAAATCTAAGGGGGACTCCAATAGGCACCCTGATGTAAGGGGGAACTCTGATGTAAGGGGGACTCTAATGGGGACCTAATCCCCCCCCAATAAAGGGTGCAGAGCGCACATAGAAAAGTCACCTAAAATAAAAGCAATAAAATGACTTTCCACACTTTACTTATACCGGCAATATAACCCCGCCCCCTGGTATGGAGGGGGAGGAGTCCTACAATAGAGTGATAGGACTGGTATATATATATATATTTCATGGTGGGGGGTTATACAGGGGGGGGGGCGGTAATAGAAGAAAGAAATGTTCATCTCACCCGGGGCAGCTGGCTGGCTTTCTTTCTCCAGACTCAGACCTCTGTCCTGGGTGTAATCCAACCAATCACCGAGAGCCACCGCCTGCAGAGGGAGGAGATAGGGGGCAGCACTGAGAGGAGCACCGAGCACTGAGCACCCCCTTCCAGTCCGGACACTTTTCACCCCCTTCCAGTCCGGACACTTTCACCCCCTTCCAGTCCGGACACTTCCCCCCCCTTCCGGTCCAGACACTTTCACCCCCTTCCAGTCCGGACACTTTCACCCCCTTCCAGTCCGGACACTTTCACCCCCTTCCAGTCCGGACACTTTCACCCCCTTCCAGTCCGGACACTTTCACCCCCTTCCAGTCCGGACACTTTCACCCCCTTTCCAGTCCGGACACTTTCCCCCCCTTCCAGTCCGGACACTTTCCCCCCCCTTCCGGTCCGGACACTTCCCCCCCCTTCCAGTCCGGACACTTTTTCCCCCCTTCCAGTCCGGACACTTTCCCCCCCTTCTGGTCCGGACACTTTCACCCCCTTCCAGTCCGGACACTTTCACCCCCTTCCAGTCCGGAACTTTCCCCCCCCCTTCCAATCCGGACACTTTCCCCCCCTTCCGGTCCGGACACTTTCACCCCCTTCCGGTCCGGACACTTTCCCCCCCTTCCAGTCCGGACACTTCCCCCCCCTTCCGGTCCGGACACTTCCCCCCCCCTTCCAGTCCGGACACTTTCCCCCCCTTCCAGTCCGGACACTTCCCCCCATCCCCCCCCCCTTCCAGTCCGGACACTTTCCCCCCCTTCCAGTCCGGACACTTCCCCCCCCCTTCCAGTCTGGACACTTTCCCCCCCCCTTCCAGTCCGGACACTTTCCTTTCCCCCCCCTTCCGGTCCGGACACTTCCCCCCCCTTCCAGTCCGGACACTTTTCCCCCCCTTCCGGTCCGGACACTTTCCCCCCCTTTCTGGTCCGGACACTTTCCCCCCCTTCCAGTCCGGACACTTCACCCCATGTCCGGTACAACCCCCCCTTCCAGTCCGGACACTTCCCCCCCCTTCCAGTCCGGAAACTTTCCCCCCCCCTTCCAATCCGGACACTTTCCCCCCTTTCCGGTCCGGACACTTTCACCCCCTTCCGGTCCGGACACTTTCCCCCCTTCCAGTCCGGACACTTACCCCCCCTTCCGTCCGGACACTTCTACCCCCCCTTCCGGTCCGGACACTTTCCCCCCTTCCAGTCCGGACACTTCCCCCCCCCCTTCCAGTCCGGACACTTTCCCCCCCTTCCAGTCCGGACACTTTCCCCCCCCCCCTTCCAATCCGGACACTTTCCCCCCCTTCCGGTCCGGACACTTTCCCCCCCTTCCAGTCCGGACACTTTCACCCCCTTCCAGTCCGGACACTTTCACCCCCTTCCAGTCCGGACACTTTCACCCCCTTCCGGTCCGGACACTTTCCCCCCCTTCCAGTCCGGACACCTCCTGGTGCGCCACCTACTGTGCAACATTGTAAGTGGCAACACATAGTAATGTTCTGCAGATCTCTAGAGAGGTCAGTGGAGGAATAATCTGCAGAATATCTCAGTATGGATCTGTCAGGAGGGGGAGGGGATGATGGAACACATATATGGAGTATATATATATATACTCACCAGGCTGTTGGTTTGGAGGGGAGAGTCACCCGGAGATCCCGGCAGTTGGAAGTCGTCTGATTTCCCGGGAAGGATGAGGGAGGACAAGCACAGGGCGAGCAGTAAGGTGGGTGAGGGGGGTTGGAGGTAGGTGGGTGAGGGGGGTGGTCTCCTGGTGTCCATAGCAGGGTGTGCTGTGCTCTCGGGGTGAGATCTCTACTAATCATCCCGACCACCAATCCCCCTATATATAGAAGGGAGGTCCCTGCGTGCAACTGCCACCCCCCCACCCCCCAACTGCCACCCCCACACCTCCCAAATGCCACCCCCCACCTGAACCCCCCAACTGCCACTGCTACTAAATCTGCATCAATCTCTCCGACATCCTCTGTCCTCTTCTCTCTCTCTTTTCATTTTTCTCTCTCTCTTTCTTTCTTTCTCTCTTTCTCTCTCTCTTTATTTCCTTCTCTCTCTCTTTTTCTTTCTCTCTCTTTTCTTCTTCCCCCCCCCTCTCTCTCTCTCTCTATAATGAGACACGCTGAGTTCCCCCTCAGTCACCCTCTATTCTCTCTCTCTTTCTTTCTTTCTTTCTTTCTTTATTTTTTCTTTCTTTCTTTCTCTCTCTTATATTTCTCTTCTCTCTCTCTCTCTCTCTCTCTCTTTCTTTCTTTCTCTCTTTCATTCTCTCTCTTTCTTTTTTTCTTTCTTTCTCTTTCTCTCTCTTTCTTTTTCTCTCTCTCTCTCTCTCTCCTCTCTCTCTCTCTCTCTCTCTCTTTCTTTCTCTCTTTCTTTCTTTCTTTCCTTCTCTCTCTTTCTTTCTTTCTTTCTTTCTTTCCTTCTCTCTCTTTCTTTCTTTTCTTTCCTTCTCTCTCTTTCTTTCTTTCTTTCTTTCTCTCTCTTTCATTCTCTCTCTTTTTTTTTCTTTCTTTCTTTCTTTCCTTCTCTCTTTTTTTCTTTCTTTCTCCCTTCTCTCTCTCTCTCTCTCTCTTTCTTTCTCTTTCTTTCTTTCTTCCCTTCTCTGTATTTCTCTCTCTCTCTCTCTTTCTTTCTTTCACCCCCCACCCCCTAACTGCCACCCCCACCTGAACCCCCCAACTGCCACTGCTACTAAATCTGCATCAATCTCTCAGACATCCTCTGTCCTCTTCTCTCTCTTTTTATTTTTCTCTTTCTCTCCCCCCCCCTCTCCCCCCCTCCCCTCCTCTTCCTCCCCCCTCTCTCCCCCCCTCCTCTTTTCCCCCCCCCCTCTCTCTCTCTCTCCCAGTTGCTGTGTAAAATCTGTAATCTCTTCTTTCTATGAATGAAATGTATATGTGTATCCCTCCCCCCCCCCCCTTCTGGAATGTCCCTTTGCCGGGTCTGGACTGGGGGGGAGGGGGGGTCCTGTTGGATGATCTGATGATGGCCCAGTGTGGGGCGGTGAAGAGTTAATCCCGGAGTAGGAGAGGCGGAGGTGATATTTGGAGGCGGAGTCTGTGGGAAGTGTAAAGTCCAGGAGGTAAATGGAGCTCCGCCCTGCTGACAACAATACAGGGTGTGGGGATATCGCAGGACCGGATCTGACCCGGAGCTGGGCGTGTCCGCAGGGAGATTCTGTATACAGGAGGCAGCACACTCTGCAAACCACCCTTCCCTGGATAGGGAGTCTGCAGATTCTTTACTGTAACAGCAGTCAGGTTGTTGAGTCTTTACTGTAAAGGCAGGCTGTGGGTTTCTTATTATAATGGTGTTCAGATTGTAGATTCTTTACTGTAAAAGTAAGCAGTCTGTAGTTTTTTTTTTTTTTTACTATAATGGTATTTGGGTTGTGGATTCTTTACTGTAAATGTGATCAGGCTATGGATTCTTTTCTCTAAAAGTAGCCGGACTCTAGATTCTTTACTGTAAAGGTAATGGGGCTATGGATTCTTTTCTCTAAAAGTAGCCGGGCTCTAGATTCTTTACTGTAAAGGTGATCAGGCTATGGATTCTTTTCTCTAAAAGTAGCCGGACTCTAGATTCTTTACTGTAAAGGTAATGGTGCTATGGATTCTTTTCTCTAAAAGTAGCCGGACTCTAGATTCTTTACTGTAAAGGTAATGGGGCTATGGATTCTTTTCTCTAAAAGTAGCCGGACTCTAGATTCTTTACTGTAAAGGTGATCAGGCTATGGATTCTTTTCTCTAAAAGTAGCCGGACTCTAGATTCTTTTTACTGTAAAGGTAATGGTGCTATGGATTCTTTTCTCTAAAAGTAGCCGGGCTCTAGATTCTTTACTGTAAAGGTGATCAGGCTATGGATTCTTTTCTCTAAAAGTAGCCGGACTCTAGATTCTTTACTGTAAAGGTAATGGTGCTATGGATTTTTTTCTCTAAAAGTAGCCGGGCTCTAGATTCTTTACTGTAAAGGTAGTCAGGCTGCGGATTATTTACTTTAAAGGTAATCAGTAGTGGATTCTTTACTGTAAAGGCAGTCTGATTGTGGAATATTTGCTGTAAAGATAGCCAAACTTTAAATTATTTTTCTGTAAAATTTATATTGTGGAATCTTTACTGTAAAAGTAGGTAGGCTGTGATTCTTTTTTTTAATTGTAATGGTATTCAGGCTTGGGATTCTTTACTGTAAAGGTAGTTGGGCTTGGGATTCTTTTCTCAAAAAAGTAGCCGACTCTTTACTGTAAAATGAGTTGGTCTGTGGATTCTTTACTGTAAAAGGTAATCAGGCTGTGGATTCTTTGCTGCATGCGCAGTCAGACAGTGGATTCTTTACTGGAAACACCATCAGACGGGATTCTTTACTGTAAAGGTATTCAAACTGCATACTGTAATGGTAGACAAACTACAGTTTTTTCTTCACTGTAAAAGCGGACTGTAGTAGATTAATTAGCTTGTACATTTTTTTATAAGAATCCGACTGTGGACTATTTATTTACTCTAGGAGTCATTTTGCTGTGGATTCTTTACTGTAAGTGTAGTCACATGGTATATTCTTTACTATAATGATGGTTAGGTTTATATTCTATTTACTGTCAGCATTGTTAGGGAACAGATTATCTACTGTAGCTACAATCGGTCTGCTGTCTTTACAGTAAAGGTAGATAGCGTTTAAATCCTTTATGGTAGTGGTATTAAACATAGTTAGGGTTCTTCACTGTAAGAGTGAACAGACTATGGCTTATTATAGTAGTGATAACACTGCCAGTTATGTAGAATCTATAATCTTTAACAGTAAGCTGTATGTAAAAGCCAGGCTGTGTGGAAGAGTAGTCAGACTGTGGGTTCTTTACCATAAAGGTAGACTGTATGTTAAAGTATTCGGGCTGTGGGTTCTTTACTGTAAAGGTAGGATGTATGTAAAAGTAGTCAGGCTATGGATTCTTTGCTGTAAGTGCAGACTGTATGTAAAAGTAGCCAGGCTATGGATTCTTTACTGTAAGTGTAGACTGTAGAAGTAGTCAGGCTATGGATTCTTTACTGTAAGTGTATGTAAAAGTAGTCAGGCTGTGGTTCTTTATCGTAAAGGTAGACTGTATGTTAAAGTAGTCGGGCTGTGGGTTCTTTGCTGTAAAGGTAGGATGTATGTAAAATTAGTCAGGCTATGGATTCTTTACTGTAAGTGCAGACTGTATGTAAAAGTAGTCAGACTGTGGGTTCTTTACTGTAATGGGTAGGATGTATATAAAAGTAGTCAGGCTGTGGATTCTTTACTGTAAGTGCAGACTTTATGTAAAAAAGTAGTCAGGCTATGGATTCTTTACTGTAAGTGTAGACTGTATGTAAAAGTAGCCAGGTTATGGATTCTTTACTGTAAGTGTAGACTGTATGTAAAAGTAGCCAGGCTATGGATTTTTTACTGTAAGTGTAGACTGTCTGTAGAAGTAGTCAGGCTATGGATTCTTTACTGTAAGTGCAGACTGTATGTAAAAGTGGTCAGGCTATGGATTCTTTACTGTAAGTGCAGACTGTATGTAAAAGTGGTCAGGCTATGGATTCTTTACTGTAAGTGTATGTAAAAGTAGTCAGGCTGTGGGTTCTTTACTGTAAAGGTAGACTGTATGTTAAAGTAGTCAGGCTGTGGATTCTTTACTGTAAGTGTAGACTGTCTGTAAAAGTAGTCAGACCGTGGGTTCTTTACTGTAAAGGCAGGATGTATGTAAAATTAGTCAGGCTATGGATTCTTTAATGTAAGTGTAGACTGTATGTAAAAGTAGCCAGGTTATGGATTCTTTACTGTAAGTGTAGAAAGTATGTAAAAGTATCCAGGCTATGGATTTTTTACTGTAAGTGTAGACTGTCTGTAGAAGTAGTCAGGCTATGGATTCTTTACTGTAAGTGTAGACTGTATGTAAAAGTGGTCAGGCTATGGATTCTTTACTGTAAGTGTATGTAAAAGTAGTCAGGCTGTGGGTTCTTTACTGTAAAGGTAGACTGTATGTTAAAGTAGGGGGGGGGGGGGGGGGGGGGGGGGGGGGGGGGGGTCAGGCTGTGGATTCTTTACTGTAAGTGTAGACTGTCTGTAAAAGTAGTCAGACCGTGGGTTCTTTACTGTAAAGGCAGGATGTATGTAAAATTAGTCAGGCTATGGATTCTTTACTGTAAGTGTAGACTGTATGTAAAAGTAGTCAGGCTGTGGATTCTTTGCTGTCAGTGTAGACTGTATGTAAAAGTAGCCAGGCTATGGATTCTTTGCTACCAGTGTAAACTGAATGCAACATTCTTTACTGTAAAAGTAGGTGTGATCTATTTAAATAAAATAATATATATATATTATGAACACGTTTTAAACCAAGGTTAAAAACAAAAAATCATTAAAAAAAAAACATTAGACACCAGAAAACATAAAAACGACCTTTTATTAAAGCACGTTCCATATTACATCCTCGGAGATATCGGCTGACCCTCCCCAAAAATACGATTAGTCATATAAATAATATAAAATAATTCTCTGAATATCAGGAAGATCCAGTCAAGCAGGGGTGAGGGAGTGCGAGAAGCGGAGGTGGCGGTGGCGGCTCCGTCGGTGTAAACAGGCGTGACGGTCCTTTACGCTCGGACTCGGAGCAAAACGTAACTAGAAAACGAGGAAACGGATCCACAGAAAAGGGCGGAGCGGAAGACATTCACAGTGAATTATCGCAAACTAAAAAGTAACAAAATGTGTGTTTTTTTTTTTTTTTGGGGGTCTCGGTCCTTCAGAAATGGTGC